GGAAAGCTCAATGCTCCCCTGGCTGCAGGTGTGCTCCTCCAGCATCCCTAACAAGCTGCAGGCAGGAGCTACTGGTCAGAGATGCCTGGGGAAAATCCTATAACCTCTTCAGAAAATAAACTGAGATTTAATCCTAAATAGCTGAAATAAATTATCTCAGATTTATTGTTTTTTCCTTTTAATTTCTGGGAAGATTGTAGATTTCTGCATGTCGTACATGCTTTTCTAGGTTTTGTTTCATTAATGTAACATTGATTTTGTAATACAGTCGTGGTTATTGTTTCCCTTTAGAATGTGTACAGTTTTTGAAAATTTTTGAGTATATCACTTGTAGCATTTGGAAGAAAATACTTAAAACACTGAAGCTAATGCTGTGCTGGCAGAATAAATGTTGTCACTTGTCAAATAGCTGTGACATCACTGTCTCACTTTAGCAGTACACTTTTTGGAAGCCAAGGCATTTCAACCTGCCTTACTTCTGTATCTTCCAAACTATTAAATATATCTAGCTTTTAATTAACACCAGAGTGATTCTATATGTCTGGAAGATTAAATCCAGGAGAATTATTTTATTGGAGCAATGAACTGTCAAACTGAAATTATTTAATGACTGCATCCTAACAATGGAGGCAAATTATAGATGTTTATACTGCAATCCAGTCTCAAGAAGCAAAAGAGGGAAGGAGAGCTTAGATAGTCTATTTTTACTTAGTTACTCAGAACAAGGTACTTAATGCTTACCACATCATCTAGGTCATAGTTAAGTCACCAGGAGTTTGTTGAGAGACAAGACTGTAACAGCAGAGCAGTTATTCACACGAGTAGATGTTACCTATGTTTTCTGAAGGCTAAAGACAAGGCCTGAATTTACTTTCTTAATAATTTATCTATAAAGTCTTCTAAAAACATTGTATATCCTAACACCATGTGAAATACCTTAAGCAGTTTGATGATCAATAAAACAGCTTTTTTTTTTGTAAAAGGTCTTATTTATTTGATACAAAAAGTTGCAGTTAATTCTTAAAACAGTGGTGGTATTACATCAAACAAGGGATTAAAAAGTTAATGAACTTGGCTTTGATATTTATACTCTAAAATGATTATTATTAATAAGCTTCTGCAATGTGCAAAACAAGGCTAACAAAGGCTATAGACACAAGGCTTTGATGCCTTTCAGTCCAGGAACTTGCATCCAACTCTACAGAAGTAAATTCTGAAGAAAACAGTACAAAATTTTTAAAAAAATAAAAATAAAAGAGATATAAAAAGGGATGGAAAGCTATTTTGGCAGTTCTTCAATGATGATTCGAGAGACTGAATTCCACCCAGTAGAAGCATCTCCTCGTGGATAATCTGAGCAAGTCCCAACCCAGATGGCAATATCCACCAAGCCAGCATTGATCCCTTCGCACAGACCTTCCACTGGTTAAAGACAAAAATCAGGTTACCTCAGCAGACACAACCCCTTAGTGGTGCACACCTGAACATGGACACAAGTACTTAAGAACAGCAGTTCATTGAAGCTCCTGCTATTTAGTTAAACCTGAATAGGATTTTTAGAAATAAAAACTATTACATAGAGATGTAGCAACAGCAGTTACAGTCATGCACTGCCTTTGTCCACGCTGCTGCTTGACATCTGTTGCAGTACCTGAAACAGATCACAATCCATAGGATGGCTAAATGGGATGTAGACCTGCTGCTTTAAACATCCAAATTTACAAACTGGGAGCTGGGATGTCTCTTCACACGCATCCAGCCATCCTTTTAGCAGGGATGGGGAGGAGGAACTCTGGGGTGCAGCCTTACCTCCACAGCTAAGTCCTGTAAAGGTGATTCCTACCCTGTAAATCTTTTCTGCTCTTAATTAACTGCTTCTGTACGAAGTTCCACTTTGTTGCCCTATTTTTGCCCCACTAGCAGCACTCGTTGGTGATGGGTTAATGAAGACAGGTGGGTCCTACCCCTTGGTGAAAAAAACCTGTGATAGCTCCAGACATTAGCTTTCATGCAGTCATGCTGTACAGGGAGAAAAGTGAACAAAGAGCACAGACTTGATGTTGGTTCTATTTTCCTAGTGTCGCATCCTTTTGTGTTGAATGACTTCACTAATTTGCCTTTTGCTTAGCAATTGAGTAATTATTTATAGGTATTTTGCTTTGAAGGTAATTTTGTGCCCCACGTGAAATTATCGTAGAAGTTCCAGGAGGAATAAGTCCCATTTTATGCACAGATAATGTGCAAATAACAGTATTTCAAGCCATTATTATACTGTGCTTGGCAGTAAGGCAGTTTCTCCACAGGCTAATGCAGCACAGAATGTCCCTGTATTCATGTTGCAGCAGAGATCAGTAGAACTGTCTGGATAGAAATCTCTTCCATTTCTAAATCACAGGATATAAATACCACGCTAAGAAAGTACCAATTAGAATAAATAATCGCAATACTTTTACTATCAATAGTTAACTCTGAGGCAGCAGAGTAACAGTAACAAGTGTTAGCTGGTGGTGCTTCTGCCTCCTCTTTCTGTCCTCTGCCTTTCTAAGGCAGATGGCACTCTGCATTTGGTGTCTGCCACTGCCTTCTCCTCCATCTCTGCGCACTCAGCCTCAGCATACATACCTGAAGAAGTTCGGTGTATATTAATAGTAGAATTCAGCTCTGGGCTCCCTTGATCTAAGTATATTATGGCTTCAATAGGAAGTGGCCCAGCACACTCTGCTCCGTTAAAAGTGAAGTACCAGCGCTGACAACAGGCGTTTTTGCATTTGAGCCGCAGTGACCCACTGAAGAGCACCCGGAGAGCACTGTTCGAGCGCATCTTTGTGAAGGTACATTCCTATGAGGAGACAAAAATGCACTTGGGTTTGAACCTATTTTCTATATATTTATGAAATATGTTTAGGAATATATTTATTTCTGAATGTTTTGGCTATTCTCTGTAGTTCCCCTCAGTTAGAGCCCGGCAAATGTCATTTAGTGCAAAGACGTGAATCAGAAACATCTAGCACCTCCTAGATGGCAGCGGACAATTAGAATATGGAAATTCTTAACTTCATTTAAACAATGCCTGTTGTTAGGTTGGTAGCCTAGTTACCTTCTGGAGTTTATATAAAGGGGTACAAGCTGTCTGGAAGTTGCACTCACATCACCAAATCACAAAATCATTAGCGTTGGAAAGAACCTCTGGAGATCTAGTCCAACCCCCAAGTCTTTGCATGAGAGGACTGTACAATAACTGTCTCTGCTACCAGAAATCCTGGACTGAATTATCACAAGATTTCTGAGAGGCTTAAACCCTGATAAAAGCTTCACAACTGAAAAAGAAACACTTTCAGGTTTTTAAGTGGTTGTTATCCTGTCTTCAAAATGTTGGATATCATGGAGGGGAAAAAGAAAACAGCAAAAAAGAAGCTAGGGACAGTTCTGCAAGTACAAGGCAGTGAGAAAAATCTACTACAAACATTGATTCTCACTCTAGCCGCAGCAGTGGCAGTTACTCCAGCCATTCTGGGCTTTGCTTCATAGCTGAGATTCAGCTGGGATTTCTTCCCCTCTTTTAGGTTTGCACCATTGTGTTTGTGTTTTACACCCAGGGCAGCAGTGGAGGACAGACTATTTGGGTCAGTCTGGGTAGCATTGGTGATTCTGTTCCTGAGCAATGCTTATCCTTTGCAGCAGCATCCTGCAACTGGGTTTCAGTGAGCAACAATTTTGAAGCAGGAGTTGTAAAGAGAGGTACAATTAACAGATTAAAGATGTACATGCCTCCTTAGGATTTCAATGGTAAAAACCTTGCCCTGTTTTGGGCAAGCTGGAGGTACTTTTTCGATGGTCTTCTCAATGTGCTCCTATACCAGCCACATTATCCTTCTGAAACCCTAATCCAGAAATTAAATGGGCATGTAGCTGAAACACAGCTGAGAGGAATCCAAAGTAGCTAATCCTTTGACAATTTCACCCTTACATGCAGAAAAAGGCTCCAACAGGAGATTTGTACAATTGGTGCTGCCCAGCTCACAGAGGCAGACCTAGAGCTTGCTGTGCTTGGTGAAGTGCAGCATCCTGGGCAAAGCTAACTTACCGCAATCTTCCCAAGGTCAATGCCATAATTAAGTGCACTCCACGAGCACTGCTTGAAGTTGGGTGTCCAGGACTCCTCGATGCTCTCACGCATGCATTCACCCTTCTCCCCTTTCAGCCCATCTCGTCCCGGGATCCCAGGTGTCCCAGGGATCCCGTTGGCACCTGGGTTTCCATCCCGTCCAGGAACTCCACTGGGGCCTTGCAAGCACATGCCATTGTACTGAAACACAGAGCAGATCTTGCTGCTTCCATCCCTTAACTCTGAAGATAACCAAGTCAAACACAAATGAACAACAACAAAACATAAAACCCCTGCTGTGCCACAAGTTAAAGGGCTATTTCTGCATCATCAAGAAAATAGTTCCATAGAGGAGAAAAAAAGGAAAGATAAATTTTCTGAGAGAAGCAGCACCAGTAAATTTGCTGTAAATTAAGATGCCAATAATTTTATTAAAAGATACATAAATCTTAGAATTAAAAATTTGCCTAGTCCAAGAGCTAAAACATGTTGGAAACCCTCAGAAGATTCAAAACATTTCAACACAGGAACAAAAAAAGAAATCATGTGTTAATAGTTACTTTCTCCTAACCTACCATTGCTTGTATAACTGTCTTGGTTAACAAGCTTTCATTATATTTTATTTTTTTTTAAGTAGAGACACTTTTGCATTTCATAGAGAGCAGGTTTGGGAAGCTGCAACCTGGAATAATCCTGAACTCAGGATCCCCATTTGTAACAGTGGGTAGGCACACATGGTAGGATGGCACAATGACAGCCTTCCTAACGTCCCAATATTAGGAAAGGTCAACTACTGCTCTCCCATATTAACACACATTGCCTTCACATTTTATGAGACTTGGGTTTGCCCTCCTTGGAGAGCAGCTCAGATCTCCTTCCCCCAGCAGCCTGAATGCTGAGATATGGGAGGAGCACAGAAACACTAAGCAGGAACCTGCAGGGGCTGGCAATGGCTTTTACTTCAAATGCTCTTTCCCATCCGGTGACTGACTGCTTACTTCAGTCTTCATCCCAAATCCTCACAGATATTCTGTTCTTCCCCTTTCTCACACCTATTTATCTTCATCTGTTTTAAATCACCCAATCCCCACCTATTTCAAAGAGAAACAGTGCTGCAACTAGTCCCTTCTTCCCAGTCATGCCCCTATCTGTGCCACAGGAGCTGTAAACCACAGCTCCTGCCCTCTCTACTTGGTCAAACTGGTGAGTTTTCTTCTTATGGGATTGCTCCTTTTCATAGGCCTTTGTGCAAAACCCATGATAGCCATCACAGACTCAGCTGGAGCCGCTCCAAAAATAATATCAGTGACTGTATGGAGAAGTCTGGTGTGAAGTAAGACAAGAATTGGGCTAATGGTTGCTGTTTTTTCCCCTTACTGCCTTCACCAAGAAAACACTGCTGGTGAAGTTCGGTGGAAATAGTGGAATATTTTATCAGGAAAGTCACATTTTAGAAAAGATATCTAGAGAGAAGGCTGGTTGGCAGGGCACACACCAACCCAGGGACCATGAGAACAATGCAAGAACATTTCTATTTCATGCAGCACTGGTTATCTGCTTTTGCTGCCATTTTCCCATTGGACTCAATTTGTAACAGTGACTCGCTCTGGCTTTTGCATGTGGTTACTCACCACAGAAATCCTGCATGTGGAAAAGGGCAAGAGCTGGGGGCAGGCCAAGGCTCAGGCCAAGACTCAGGCCTGTTGCTCCCCATCCCCAGAGACAGTGTGAGGAGCTGGGCTGTCCTGGCAGAGGGGCACTGCAGCCACCCAGAGCCACACTGTGACCTTCCAGGGAGAGCAGCTCAGCCACTGCACACCCCAAAAAATTGATGTGAGTACAAGGGATTACCCAGGCTTCAGGCTTCACTCCAACTAAAATCACCTGTCTTGCCAAATCCAGTCTTTTTCATGCTCTCTTAAGCTAGAAATGCATAAAACATTTTAAAATGCCCGCTGAAGGCAGGATCCCCTCTTGGCCATGCCTTCATTCTGCCCTGGCAGGGCGTTAGGGATCCCCTCTTGGCCATGCCTTCATTCAGACTGCTCCAGCTAACGCAGACTGGAGCAGTCTGTACAACCAGACTGTGCAGAGTCAGCTGCCATCGATTTACCCACGTTTTGCTGCTCACTCTGGTGCGGAGCAGCAAAAAGCATGGAGCAATGCCAGAGAAATGGGGGGCCCTAAAATACTGCTCCAACAGCAAATACAAGTTTCTTCATGCATACAGACTCCTTGTTCTCAATGCAATTCAATTTCCACAATAAAAGTGAAAAGACAATGAAGTGGTCTGAAAGGAACTTTGCTATCAATGGTGCTTCCAGCACATCACTTCAGGAGATCCCTCTGGAGCCCATGGAAGAAATGGCCGTGCCAGTGATTTTCTATAGGAGGTGAACAGCAGCTCACAGAAGTACCTTCACATCTGCTTTCTGCATTCCAAGGGCTGGAAAATCTCCCTCCTCTCATCTATCCCCGAGATGGGATAGTCCCAATGCATTCAGGTTTCTCGTTGCAATGGAATTGCAAACAGCGGTATGTGGTCCCAGGAGCCGAAGGGATTAACGTGACTCCAAGGAAAAGATTTGCTAAAAGTGTCGATACAGTTTTCCGAGTGCCTGCTGAAGAGCAGATCTTTTATTTATCTTGCTGTGTACTTCTCTTATTATTACTTATCCACTAGCCCTTTAGGAACTAAACAGCATTGTCGGCTCCTTTGGCAGGGCTGTAAGGTTCCAGCATTGCCCCTGCAGTGCGGGAGGGCAGGAAGGAGCCCGCGGCGATCAGCCCCCGGCGCCAGGCAGGGCGAGGAACGGGGGCTCCGCCGGCCCGACGGAGGAAAAGAAGACACCCCCAGGCACGAAAACCTGCGGTTTCTGTCAAAGCCTGTCCGACCCTTTCTC